TTTTCAAATTCAACTATAAAAAAAAATTTGTATTTAAAAATTTAACATTTTTTTTTTTCAAAAATATATAAATATTTAGGTTGAAAATGGAACAGGATCATACTTGCAAAAAATTTCTAAAGTAGCATTATCAAATCGTGATAGAAATATATTATGTGTGCAATTGATTAAATTAAGATTTCAAAAATTAAATTAAAAGCTACGTTAAGGAATGGGTATTTGATTAAAAAAAACTTAGCAATTGTTTTGTATCATTTAAAATAAAAATGTTAATAAATTTATGCTAAAATCGCTAATTTTGGTTTTCTGCCCAAATATCTCGAAAACCGTACATTTTAATTTTAAAAAAGCCAATCACTTATTCCTATAATTATGCAAATTTTTTCCAGTTAACTAATTTTTGTTATAGATATAACTGTTACCGAAGTCCAGTAATGTTGAATTACATTTTTGCTAACCGGTAATATATTGGAAATATGGAAGAGAAACAGAAAATATTCTTTTTATTAAAACGAAACCAATTTCTAAGAGTTCTTTCTGAATTCCAACCATGTCGGAAGTAGATGGAAATTTTCCTATTTGAGTTAGAACTAATTTTATTTTGTAATTTGACAGAGTATACTGTAACCTAGTTTTACGATGATTTTTTGATCATAATTATAATAAAACTTAAGGTGAACTTTAATTTTTATTTCATTATTTAGAATTATTCTTTTTAATAATTTTTTAGGATTATTCCCATATATTTTTACCAGAACAAGGCATATAACTATAACTTTAAGAATAAAGTCATCTAATAAAATAAAATGTTATGTCTTTTTGAAATACAGGGTGACACACCGAAAACTTTGCACCCTGAATATCTTCCTGTAAATAATATGAAAAATCGACAAAACCCGTCAATTTTATTTTCAAGGGGGACACCTAGAATAAATACTTTTAGCACTCGAGGCTCAACCTCCTAGTGGATGAGATAGGGTGCTAAGTGGCACATCATTTAAAATGGCGTTTATTTTTTTTTTACACAAATTTATATTATCTTTTAAAAAAATGCGTTTTAAAATTACAGAAATTGAAACATGCCTGCACTGAGAGTCTCGGTTTTCATGTTTTTATCTTTGTCGGTTATAAGCAGGTAGGATTAGGTTTGTCCCAGAACACTGTGGCCTCTTGGGTTTATTGTATTCCCCTGCTTTCCCCGTATTCAGGTATTATCTTTGGAATAGTCCTGTGTCTTTGATTAGTTTTAATAAATTTTTTACCAACTGTTCCTGGGGCGTTCTTTCAGGTTTTAGGCCGAAAAGAGTGAAACGTCGCCTAGTAAGAGCTTTAAATTCGAAGGTCACATGGTGTGAGGTTTCTTCCTCTTCCATGCAGAGTCTACACGTAGTGGGATCATTGTGTAAGCCCATTACATGAGGGTGTTTCAGCAAGCAGTGCCCCGTTATTAATCCCATAATTGTGGATAATCTGAGGCCTTGCGAGTTATAGTGCCTTAGTAGCCATGCGTAGGTTTGGTCCCCTTAGCATGAGCTTACTTATTCTGTACCCTCTTATCTGTTGCAAGTGATTTAGGTATTTTGTGGTTATCCACCTGTTTACTGCCTGTCGAGCAGAGGTTTGGCTTATCCCAAATGCAGATTCGGGTCCTGTGAATGGTAGATCTGATCCCTCTTTGGCGAGTTCATGTTAGTATTTATTCAATAATTATCGCATTGGGTATCCTTCTAGCAGAAATGGTTAGAAGATTAAGTGGCACCAAACTTTTACAATTAAAAGTAATTTATTAGTAAAATTTCGATGGCAATTAGATTTGATTTATTAAGTGGTGGTTTTTTAGTTCTTAGCGTTGAAATTCCACATATAGCCTGCCCTTTTGGTTCTTTATATTTTTTAAGTCTTGAAATAGCGGCTTTTTGTCAAGTAAAATAATTGTTTAGCAAATTTTTACCATTTATTGTTAGTACTCTTAATCCAGTTTTATTTATTGGACTATTGAGAGACCCTTAATTAAGTGAATAAACTGCAAAAATAGTTTACTCTCTAAGAGAAAGAATTGTAATGATTTTAGTTTATGGAGAGGTTGGAAAATGTACACGAAGGGCAGCATTTATTTTTAATAAAAAAACAATGCTAATTCGTAATGCAACTCACAGGTATATTCTCGATTTGGTAACAAAGCTTCTGGAAAATAGTTATTTAAATAATAGTAAAAGAAATAACCGACGAGTACTAAATGAAGAAGCTGAAATTGAAGTTTTGGATATATTTGTTGCAGCTCCATACGAACAGTAACAGAACAGACGCATAAATGTAAAAAGATTATTAAAAATACATAAATTTCATGTCTTTGTCCCAACAGAGTTTTGTAAAATCATGTCTAATCAAGTCAACTCCAACTCTAATATTCTGCTGAATATCTGTTTCAGGAACGAATCTTTATGTTTTCTTAATAGCAATGTTAATGAACAAAATTATGTCGGTATTGGAGTAACGAACACTCGTATGTTATTTAAGAAGGGCATACAGATCGTCCGCAACAGGTTAATATTTGGTGTGGCATTCTTGGAAATAAAATTATTGTTCCTTTATTTATTGAAGGAAACTTGACAGACGATCTGTACCTTAATATGACTGAAGAGACTATTGATCCTCTTAAAACTCACGAGTTAGAAACTCAAACTAATGCAGAAAGTTATTTAGTTTCACAGAAAGATCTGTTACATTTCGCCGTCGACAGTGGTTAAACGAGAAATTCCCAGACACTTGAATTAGAAGAAGGGGAGCAATTGAATGGCCCCCCAAGATCATCTGATTTAACTCCCTTAGACTTTTTTTTAGGACACCTTAAATTCGTGGTTTATGAAATACAATCTGCTGATATTGATGATCTTAAAAAGCGAATTACAGTGGCATGCCGGTCCATTTCCCGGTGAAGTTTTCCAAAATATTAGAGAGGAGTCAGAAACAGACTTTATTATTGTTTACAGTATAATGGACAATATTTTGGACAATTTTTTAAATAGTGTATAGTAGATCCTATGTGTTTAATTTTTAAATTATCTTGCGAAAATTGAAAGTTATTTGTGTAAAAGTAAAAATTAAACGTGTAGACTCGATATTCCTCCTGTTACTCAACTCGATAGAATAAGTTTTCTTTAAATGCTAATCTGATAACCAAGATTCTCTGTAACTTTGAAACGCAATTTTTCGGAACTTGCTGGTCAGAAGATAATAAATTAGGGTTTCATTGGAGAATTAAACGCCCTTTAAAGTGATGTGCCACTTGACTCCCTTTCCCATTTAAGATTTTAAGGGTAAAATCTACCCCTTCTAGGAGGTTGAGCCACGAGTGTTTAAAGTATTCATTGTAGGTGTCCCCCTTGAAAATAAAATTGAGAGGTTTCTGATATTCAGGCTGGGAAGTTTTCGGTGTGTCACCCTGTATGTACTCTCTGCAAGATTAGCTATTATCTTTGAATAATTGGAACGCCGAACGTCTAAACAATTTTATTGATTACACTGATCTTTGAATACACGAGTAACTAAACATTTTCAGTATTATTTTAACGATATTGGATGCTTTACTCCGATGTACCTATTTCTACGATTTCTTTTAATTAAAATGCACCTCGGCGTTTGGCTCTGTTTCTGTTTATCGTTCAATTTTAAACCAAGAATCACAAATACTTTTTACCTCTGGTTCTAAATCTAATATTTCAAAGGGACGTGATCTACCACTTTAAACATTCGCGATGTAGTTCGTTTAAATTCAGGTTGCAGCCATCCGAGTTTTTCTTTCTTCTCACTTTTCTACCATCTACCAGAACCACATACCGATCGTTAGGCAGGGGTGTTACTTACAATGTTAGCTGTGGGGTCCAGCAATGGTAATAATGTTCAAGACATGTAATATTGAACGATTGCAAAAACATTTACCAAATGCGGAAAGTTCCAAATATGTTAATTACTTTATGTATTAATTTACAAAATATATTTGTCTAATATCCGGATATAAATCAGTTTTTTTACCAAGAAAACAATTTTTTGGTATTGTTACACTTGGTTTTGGTAACTGAATTTACACTCACCGGCACGAAAAACGGGCACCTCGATAATTTTTTATAAAAATGCATTAATTTTTTTAATTTGTTTTTTAATTAGGTTTTAATCATTTGGCCAACAGAGAACACGGTTTAGTAGAATACCCTGAAGATTTTTTAACATGAAATGCCTTTCCAAATTGAATATATTCCAGATATTGTACGATAATCTCAATAATGCAAAAGTTATTATATTGCCCTTACTTCAGTGGTTCAAGTAGGCTATGCATTTTCAGTGATTTTCACGATTATATTAAAGGTTAAGTTAAGTGTTTATTATGTTCTATGGTTTAGTACTAGGTTATGTCAATTAGTGCGAATTTTAAGATGCCTTTAAGCGCATAAACTGCTGCATCTATTGCTGCTCTTATTTAAGACGGAAGAAGTCAAATTTAGTGGCTAACAGATTCGGGGTATCACGCAGTACCCTGCAGCGTGTATTTACACGTTTTATAGAGACGGGACTTTATACTCGACGGGACTTTATACTAGACGTCCTGAAACCGGTCCTCAGAGAAGAACTATTCATCGAGATGACCGTTTTATGATATCTTCAGCACTAAGAAATCGTCACACAACTTTTCTAGAGATTAGAAATAATCTTGAACATGTCAGGAAGGTAAATGTTAGTGAACAAACAGTTAGAAAAAGGTAAGATGAAGCTAATCTAAGATCTCGAAAACCCGCTATAGGACCAGAACTTTCCAGGGAGCATCGTGTAGCCAGATTACAATTCGCTAGGGAGCATCAAAATTGGAATGCAGACGACTGGAGCTTTGTGTTGTTTACCGATGAATCCAGATTTTGCTTACGATCACCAGATGGTCACGAGAGAGTCTAGAGAAGGACAAATGAACGATATGCCGAGTGTACTTTTAGCCCTATTGTAACTTTTCAAGGGGATTCAGTTATGGTGTGGGCTGAAATATCGGAGGGGCGTACAGAATTGTACATGGTCCCTAGGGGATCTGTGACTGCAGATAGGTACATAAATGAGATCCTACAAGATTATGTTGTCCCATGTGTACCATTTATTGGTGACAACTTCATACTGATGCATGACAATGTACGCCCTTATGCCGCCCTTATGCCGCCCGCATGCCGCCCGCATTGTCACGGAATATTTGAACGAAGTTGGTATTACCCAAATGGCATGACCAGCGCGCAGTCCCGATCTAAATCCCATCGAGCATGTTTGGGATTTGTTCGGTAGAAGGATTTGAAGCTGGGTACCTGCTCATCTTGCCTTAAGTCAGCTCAGAGTGGTTCTTTTAAAGAAATGGGAAGCAATTCCACAGAATGAATTATTCAACTTAATTAACAGTATGCATGGAAGAATGAATACCGTTATACAGGCTCGTGGAGGTAATAGACAGACAAGTGTTAAATACTGGTTTTTTAAATTATTTTTGTATTTCTGATGATAATTGTGTAACTGTTAATAAATTTATTTTCTTTGTGTTAATGTTTACAGACGTTTACGAAAACCTAAGTCGTTTAAATTATCTTGATTGAATGGTTTTGGCGTTCCCAGGTCGCATTCAAAGTCACTATCACTACTGTCGTTTTTCGTCTCAATATTTTCAGGCTCTTCCTGTAAAGTACGTAAAGTACAAGTAATAATAATAATAATAATAATATCCGTCCCTTTCCCCGGACAAGTAAAAAAACAAAGAAAATTACATTTTTGGTTCAATGGATGCAAAATATTGAGTTTTTATTTTAGATACCGCCAGAAACCAAAATATTGTTAGAGATACTCGAAAATCATTTAAAATCTAGCCACAAACTGTATCTGAAACTGCCCCAATTCGGATTATTTTCTAAAAAAATACCCAAATTTTTAACAAACCACGCAATAACTCGAGTTAGGGCGCTTTTATAATCGTAATTGTTAATTTTAATAGCAAAATATCGTAGCTTTTAAATAAATTATTAAGATTTTATGTCAAAAACAAAATAATGATAATAGGGACAAAATTTCAAAATAAAATTTCTTAAAACAATAGTATTTTTGTCCACGGCCACTTAATAATAAATCAGTATTCTACCTCCTAACTAAGAGCTTATGGTACCCATATATCACTAGAGTGAATTATGATAATTCACGCTTTTGTAATTTTGCCACATTCCTGTAGGTGATTCAATGTCTAACCAGGTTTTTTAAAATATTTAAAATTCATCTAATAATTTTGATTTTAAATCCTTACCTTCAATAAAATTCGAAAATTGTTCCGGTATTAACGTAACCATTAATGTAAAAAAGTAATGTTAAATACCTAGTTATTTATGCTGTTGTCTTGTAAGTTAAGTATTCCTTTGGTAAAAAACAACAGTTAGTTACCTATGTAATAAAAACTTTCCGTTCTACACTTAACTTTTATTTAATAAAGAAATTATAATGGTCGTGGACAAAGTATAGTATTACACTCGCAATTTATAGCAATTTTTACTTAGATCATGTTATAAATATACTATAGCTGTGACAGCATTTGATTGAGCCATCGATATATAAGGTGTAGAAGCGGTCCCAATATGTTTCCTTATGGAACCCCGTCATTTATTGTATGGAGTGCTAAGTGTTTATCCTAATGTTTATTTTTTAATTAAATACATATACTGCATGTTAATAGTTCAAGACTTACAATTTAAAAGTTAGAACGTTAAATAATGTTTTGAATATTTATTTATAATTGTTAATATGTCTGTTAAATGAATTAAATGTTTAATGACAAATTACCCATTTATGTTTAATAAGTAAAATCACAGGTTTATATAAATAACGACATTTTGTTATTAAAAACAAATCTTGTTAATATTAAAAATACGACACATAAATAAATTAGTTTATTGAATGAAAAAACATATTTTTTCTCAGTGTACACATTTCCTAAACTTTCTCTTTATGGGGGTAAAAAAGAGGGGGTTGATTTTTTTAAATTCATGTCCCACATCTCAAAACAGAAAATGTAAAAAACCTGAAAATTGGTATTAGATTTCGTTATCCATAAAGAGACATTTATTTTGCTAATTTTCGTAAATAATTGTGATCTTTTGGAATGCAGTCATGAAAACCGAAGATATTAGATATGTGAAAATATTTACTTAACAAAGAAAATCAATATGTTATTTTCCAATTACGATGACATAATTACTGTAAAAATGGGTAATTATAGACTTCTTTAAAAACAGTGACGACTTTTATGTTTTCCGATTATACTCTGAAGGTGAGAAAAACGAAGATATTTATTTGTTTTAAATATCTTTGTCCTTAAAAACCGGAAACAGGCTTAAATTTTATGTTTATTTTTAAATAATAATTTGTAAAATACCTATTCAAAAAGGTGGCAATAGATAATTTGCAGAAATTGGGAAAATTCTTATATCCCTCCCGCAGTACGTCTTTGTCCTCAAAAGTTTTCTGGTTTTCAAAACACGCAACATTTACATTCTTTAATATCTAAAGTTTCAATAAGATCAAGTTGCCTCAGGAAATAGCTCGCAACTCTGGCAATTTTCTGGTATTCTTTTATAATATTATTCAAAATAGTAGATGGAAGTGGTTATCTACATATATCAAGGCACTGTTTTCATTTTGGATATTCTATTGCATCCAATAAAAACACCTACGCTAAATTCGAGATAGTACCAATTTTATTTCTGAAAGCTTAAATTTATTCTTTATTATATAAAATACAGGGTGTCCCAATAGTCAGAAATCAGCACCCCGAAATTCGATCATGTACTGTGCACTCGAAGATTTACTTTTTAAAAAATATGTACTGTGTTGGGAATAAGTTTACGGGTGCAAATCCGTAATGCTCCATTAAATTAGCAATTGCAAAAACAAATATAAAAATATTTTTGGATTATTTTGATTTATCGTAAAAAAACATTTTTTTGTGTTTAATTGGCGATTGTGACGCCGTTGTTTAATATATTTTTAAAATTTTTGCAACACTGGAAAGCTGAATCATTCAAGATTTCAACGCAATGTGGAAAAAAAATATTTTACATATACATAATTTATTAGATTATTTAAACGGAGTCGCGGCACCAAAACTGAGGTGAACATTTCAGCATCGAGCAAATTTGTGAACGGTTGAAAATGTGCTAAAATGAATGGAAAAGTTTTTGGTGAAAACAGAAATTCTCTATTCGTAATGGTTTCTGAGAAACGAATTTTTTTTGTGAAACGTTTATGCGCGCCGGCCGCTACATTTTTCCGTCGCGCGACGTTCGTCGACGGTCATTGTGTGTAGTGGTAGTGTTATCGGGATTGTGGGTGTGAATAGATGTACCTCCACAGAATTGAGTAATGCAAAACAAATCGGTTTAAACATCCTAAATAAGGCAGAAAAAAATAACTATCATAAAATACCGCCAGTCAAAATAAAGTTATTTTCTGAAAAAACTAAACTCCTGTTCAAATTAAGTCGCAATTGTTTGTAGATGAAGCAATGGTTTTCCGCAGCTTATATTTTGCTAGAGATTTGGACAAAAATAAAAAAATAGAAGTGTTCAGCCATGAATGGTTAAGTTACCCTCCATCTCTAAGTGAACCTAGTTGTTTTGGTCATTCCTTGCGAAAAGGAAACAAAGCCGATTTTTTGAATTGTATGAAATCGCAACTGAAGGACAAGTGGGTCGAGTCAAAGACATTAACATTCAGTGATGACAGAAAAACTGCGTATGTTATTGATATGGTCAATATAAAAATTGTAAGACCTTTTGTGAACTTTATGAAAAATAGATTGACATTATTGTTGCCAATAAACCAAAAACGTGCGATATGATTGCCCTCCTCGGAGATCGATATGACGACAACATTAATTCTGTGAGAGATATAGAAAGAATGAAAAGGAACAAATTTGTTTTAAACAGCCAAGAATTTGAAGATCAAGATAATATTGAAGTTCCTAATTGGCAGCAGTTTTTTTAGTAATAATAAGAATAAATCACGGCTACTAAAATATATTTCCAGCAAACTATGTACAGCATATAACCGCCTTCCCAAAAATATTTTTATATTTACCGCTGGAATGGCAGAAAATATCAGCATTACTACTCTATCTTCTTTCGAAACCACTAAAATATTACCAGAACTAAACTTTTCTCACCATAATGATGCCGACTCAGGGGGGAATATCGCGCATAGTGTCATGGCGGTGCTGACGTCATGTGTAGAGTTAGTAGAGTTGGCGCTTAGTAAATATCATATGACAGGCGCACGTTGCAGTGATTTGTAAATTATTAATAGTAATTTATAACATTTTAAACGAATATCTGTATTATATTGTAGTGTTCTTTGTGAGTGATAAACATTAAAAAATGAGGTATGCAATTTACGGATGTAACAGTCGAAGCAAAGGAGTTGAAAAAGACGTTGATTTTCATATTCCTCGATAGTAAGAGGTTAGTCAGAAATAGAAATGGCCAAAGGGCGGCTCTAGTTGTAGATCCCAGGGAGTCTTGTCTCTTTCTTAATTAACATTTTTACATTCCATGAGGCTTTTATCAAAAAAATATAGTAAAAAGGGAAATGTTATAGGCAATGCTACCCACTGCTCCTCGAAAATTTGACGAAGACGCCCTTGCAGTGGCCTGTGGCCGTGCAGATAAATTTAAAACAGAAAATTGTCATGTGCTCCAAGCACTTTTAACCTTTTAATTATAAGATGGACCTCAAAGCAAACCTTCTCGTTAGTTCATTCGTAACTCAGGACTTCTTAACTGGGGACTCTACCCTTTTAAAAGCTAAAAATTTCGCAATATGTAGAAAAGGTGAAATTATTTATGTCGCAAAAAAATTAAATTTCGGCATGTTGTACTTGATGAAAGAAATAAAAAAGTGTCAGTGACTATGTCAAGGAAAAAAGAGTGACATTTTATTTTAATTTTGTATATACACCCACCATGTAGCAGTTATTAGTATTTGGTACATATTTGTATTTGGTACATTTATTTTTATGTTTTGAATTATATTATATATATGTGAAAAATACTTTTTAAAAACCTGTTTTTGTTATCGTACTTATACATAAATCCCATCTTATTCATAAAATAAGTTGTTAAGTATATTCAATTGGCTAATATATTGCAGATAAATGAGTCATCAGTTGCAAATCCTAATCAGGTAAATAGTTCCATGATGCGAAATTTTAACCCAGGGTCCCCTATTGAGAAATTCTGAGTTGCAAAGATACCCTTCTCATTATCCTGGTTATAGAAACTATTCTTTAGACGTCGAATGTACTTCTAAATAATTAAAACCTGCATTATAATTTATATAACAAAAATAAATCATTAAAAAGAAACAGGAAAAAACTGATACTTCAAATAAATATTTCTTTCATGTATACCTTTGCGTT